TCTGGAAACATGTGGTCAGAGGGACACTCTCACGCAACATGATGGGTCACTTAAGCAGTGTTATGGACAGCATGAGTGTAAAAGAAGGCATTACAAGCCATTCTTATCAGGACATTCATGAGGAAAAAAATACCACTAAACAAACTTGTCAAGTGTAAAAGAAGGCATTATGAGTCATTCTTATCAGGACATTCATAAGGAAAATAATACCACTACACAAACTTGTCTGACAAAGGCTAGTCTAGTCTAAGAACACCTCCTCAAAACTGATGTATATTACTGTGAGGGAGGTGCCTGAGAATAACATTCCATAATAATCCAGTCAAAAAGGGAAGTATGACTTGCTGAGGACGGAATCCAAGAGAACAAATATAAAAACAAACCAGTTCTTCCCACCAGGAGCATAACTTTAAAATTAATGGTCATGTTATAGATACTCCCCAATCTGGCAGCTATACAAACACCTTCCATCATTGCTCAGAAGATTCGGAACAGAAATGGCAAAACAGCACTTGTGCATGACCCATCTGGCCTGCCTCTCCACAGGGGAGACCTACTCACCCAACCATGCTAAGTAATGAAACTGTACCTCTGCCCTGAATGCATATGTGTAAAATATTGTGAGACAAATATTCAAAAAATAAAATAAAGCAATGGATTTCAAAAGCATTTAAGCAATTCAACAAAAAAGACACACATTTATATGTCAGACAATGTTAAAAAAGATAAAACATAATACAAAACCTTGTGGTTAGAAAATGCATAATCTTGCCAATACAACATGAACAGGTTAGCATATCCAAACACAACAATACAGCATAGGTGGAGGCAGCAGACATCTGCCTAAAAACTCAAATGATCAATTAAGAATTTGCTGGTTTTGCTGTGATGCAAAGCAAAATTATGTTAATGATCAAACAAGTATGTGCTAGTTTGCTAAATCCAAACAAGAAACTAATCATTGACATACAAAACCTAGGCATACACCAAATTTTGGTAAAAAGCTACAGGAGTGCATAAGTCAATCCTGCTTGACCTGCATCTTGCCAATGTAGAATTTATATGTAACCTAATCTGCTATATACCTACTTACCTTCCACCTTGTTACCTAAGGTTGCCTAAGGTCATCTCTCTGCCAGCAATACTGGTATATATATATATATATATATATATATATATATATATATATAGCTAGCAATATAGCAAATAAACAAATAAATACATCTAAAAAGTCATGAGTACGACACTGTACCTTAGCATGGAAATGATAAAAATGTATATAGGATAATTTAAGAGACCCTGAGCAGGAAAAGATGAATTCAATATTGCACAAGCACCTCCATATAACACACACTTCCAGTTAGCATCATTACTAGCTGAAAAAAGCAATTAGTAAAGAAAGTTACTCAAACTGCATGGTCTTTCAACAAGTGAACTACATTCTTTTCCCAGTAATATTTCCTGTTGACCTAAATAACTTACCAACTGATTATTAGGAATTACAACAGTATGTGTGGTGTCATGTCAGGTGTGCATGGTATATGCATCTTGCAATTATTCATAAGGCAAAAAGTTGGCAGGTCAGGTTGTTGCAGTAGGGATATAATCCTGACTTATATTGGTTTTCATTCATTTCAAGAAAAAAATTATATAGGATATTGTCTATTGGACCTTGGGATCACACACTGCCATCAGGCACTGACATTTGATGTCAAACAGCTTCATATCTATAAGACATATGATGGTGCTAGGAGCATCGACTGCTGTGTGTGATCCTCCACATGACCTGGCTTGTCAGAAACTGTCATTTTCAGCCTGGTTAACACTCCCTGTGTGACCAAATCTCTTCAGGTAACTTAGACTACGAAGGAATCCAACTGATTTTTCGTTGTTACCAATCCAATGACCACCACAAAATGGAATTCAAAAAGTACTACGGGGCGGGCAATGGCATGAGTCGATGGAGTGCAATGACTGCACCGACAGCCGACTCCCGCCATCAGTCACGTTTTCCCTCTAGATATACAATGAAGACGCGCCTAGGTCTTGTTAATAGCAAATGAATCCTTGATAAAAACGAATAACTTCTCACAATCCTGCTACAAAACACAATGCGCATTTCACCACACTCACGCAACACAATGACACGCACCGACCTTCCTCGCGGGATGAACAGTCGCGATGCTCGATCTATGTTTTGCTTTTCGTCGACGTTACTGGCGCATCATAAGCGAACTATTCTCCCAAAAACGTGAAAATGTTAGAATATTGTCTTTGGTGTTTTGCAGATAGCTTTGCATCAAATCCAACGAACGACAATTAGATCCTTATAGCAGTGATACTGCCAAAGCTATGGTCGGTTTTATACGCCATCAGCACCAGCAGCTAATTAAGCGTTTGATAACTGCAAAGCTCTTGATTAGAGGCGACGTCAGCAACTGCAAACTGGACGGCGAACCGTAACAACACGCGTACCCCAGCCGCCCAATGTATCTGTCTTGCCGGTGATGAGCATGAATAAATTGGAACTTTAACAATCAGACAGCACTGAAAGTTATAAGAAGGCTGTCATGCGTGCTCTCTGTAAGCAGCCCAAACTGTTTAAAACGTCAGGACTTGCTATTGCAGAAAAAACTGCTAATCTACCCGAAAAGCTGGTCTCCGCCCCCACCCATCCACCCGCCCCTCTTACGAGCCGTGCGAAGTTTGGCCCCCTGCTGCTGGTTTCAGTGTGGCGGATAGCTAAGTTGCGTGATTATTTCGGCTAGACTGGCGCTTACGATGTTTCCTTGCGCCTCCATGTATCAGTCTCCACTTCTGATGGTCGGTTGGTTTCCTTGGAATTAAATGCTGTTGATACCTGAGGCAGGAATCTTGCCCACACCCTTAGCCAATTATCATCAAGTGGGCGCGCAGCTCGCGGCCAGCGAACACGACTCCATAGGACCTCAGGTACCCCCACCCCAACGTGGCGACGTTCACGCATCTGACAAGACCGAGATGGCCGGTTCGTGCCATCGCGGCAGCCCGAAGTAGGGCGTCAGCACCCCCTCCAACTTTCAGAAAAGTGGACCAAATACTGGGAGAAACCTGTTGGTAAATGTCGGGGGTAGGTTTCATAATTTGTTACGGTTCAGCCCCTTCACTCGTTTTCCGAAACTACGCTCCTGAAAGAGCCGTCGCGTGCGCTGTCACCGTGGAGCGCCCTCTGCAACCTACCGAACCACGCTGTCCCTATTTTTTACATTTGCTCATTACCGCACAATGAAGACGGTGCTTCCAAAATCGGTTACATCTAGTGCGTCGTAAGCGTTTACATTGTGTAACTTCTCTGGCATACTTGCCCACCCACTGACTGTCCCTGTCACACGTCGCTTTACGAATGCGTCTTCCAGTTGCTTCCTGCTGTGTCAATTGAGTCATTCGCACCACCGTGGGGGAAGGCATGTGCTCGTGACGTAATGATTTCACGTTCCTAACCTCGTTATCTAACATTCCATGGAATGGGTGGGGAGCACGAGAGGGGTCAGCATTGGGGGAACCGCGAGAGCGCGAGGAGGGTCGGCATGGGAGAACTTCAGGAGCACGAGGAAGGTAGCATTAGCGACGGACACAGGGGCGCGAGAAAGGTCAGCGCTGGAGGCAATAGCAGGACGCGAGGAGGGCCAGCATTGGAGACAACAGCAGGACGCGTGGAGAGTCAGCCTTGGGGACAACAGCAGGAAGCGAGAAGGGTTAACATTGGAGACAACAGTCGGTCATTCTAGATGCCGCTTCCGAAGAAAGCTGCTGATGATTTGGTAAACTCCAGGTAGGTATCAAACTTGAACATCTGCCTAGCTGGCTCCACTCCTCGTATTCTTAACGCATCCATTCGCGACGGTTTGCTGACATCACCGACACGGCGGCAGTCCCCACGGCGCCGAGCACATGCCTGCGTTAAACAGCAGCTGATTAAGAGCGCGCTCTGTGTGCCTCTGCAAACGGCGACGGACAGCACGATCGGGATGGCTCTTCCGCGGGCGGATCAGACGCTAGGGCCGACTCTGCCCACAGCATCTCCACATCGCCCCAGACCTATGGCGTGCATAACACCTGGTTAGTCGTTAATCTCTGCGCCGAAATTAACAAAGGGTGCTGTTAGACTTGCTTTATTTGTCGTACAACATAGGAGGCACCGCAATTATGGCACATAATCGAATGCCAAAAGAACGATCCTTACTAAAGGAATCAGCGCTAGTAAACGGTGCGTCGTAGCCGTAATCAACGCCTTCGCACTCCGATCCTCGGACTGCCAATCAAATGGCGCGACACGGTGCTGCAACGTGACAGCCCAGTCCTCCGTGGCAGGCGGCGCGGATGGCGCGCGCCACAGATGGCGCTGCAGGGCGGGGTGTGCCGTCCGCCGGTGGCTGGCGGGCGTCAGTGGACCGGGTAGCTGGCCCAGATGGCGCTGCAGGGCGGGGTGTGCCGTCCGCCGGTGGCTGGCGGGCGTCAGTGGACCGGGTAGCTGGCTCAGATGGCGCTGCAGGGCGGAGTGTGCTGTCCGCCAGTGGCTGGCGGGCGTCAGCGGACCAGGTAGCTGGCCCAGGTTGTGCTGCTGGGCGGGGCGGGCACCACCCAGCCGGGCGGTACGGCCGAGCCCAGCGGGTCCTCCGGCCCCACCAGGCACCGGTCCCAGTCAGCCCTGCCGAGTCAGGCACAGCCCCGTCACAGTCCGGCTCTTTCTAGTCATCGCCACAATACAGGTGACATGCCATCACAGCAGAAGACTACCTCTCCGCCCGTTTTTTGGCCGGGTCAATTCCAGAAGTGTGAGCATATCCACTGGTGAAAAATCCCTGGAAATGCATTAAGATTTTGAGGATTTACCCCATCGTGAGTCACGCATATCCTGCCCCAATTATCTTGCTTAAGCCTCTACCTGCTTCGCCGCTTTTCATCATGCCGACTAAAAAGAAGGGGGTCGATGCGACTCACCTGGCGTTTCTAACATAATGAAAATGGAGCTAAGCAAAAACACCAGAGGAATGGTTTCAACAAAATCTCGCAACTGGTGCTAGGTTGTGTGTTGTTGGATCAATAATTATTCCATTATGTCATATCAAGTCAAATTTTAGTCCAAATTGCACTTCAGCTTTACATCATACACACGAAGCTTTACATCTTGGCGACACGAAGCCTAAACGGGCATGTCCCTTGTTTAATTCTGAGCACAGCGGTGTATATGTGTTTCGAGCATGTATTCATGATCCACGGCTCTTCTTATGTAACAATGTCGGCCGGCCGTGCGCGTTCCGCGGTGTCGTCTGTTGTCGCCCGCAGCCCGCCCTGGCTGTAAACCGCCGTGCAGTGCTCCTCAAACCTGCCACTACCCCGCAATTAGACAGGCTAGAAACATGAAGGCTAGAGGCACGTTTAGGCGTTTCTGGTATCACGGCTTTATCATATCATGGCTTTTGGACGTTAGAGGCGTTTCTGGTATCAAAGCTCGCGCGACGGATGCCCAATACGATACTGAAAATTGGCGCGCGATTGCCACAACATACCGGAGAGATACTTTCAAAAAACCTCCGGGGGGGGGGGGGGGCGCATGGACTCCGCTATCAGGGCAAGAGATAAGTCTTGGCATTTTGTAACGCTACCATTTTGTTTTACTTCAGCTGCACTTGATGGACTGCAGAGACTACATTCCCTACAATTAGCCTAAATATATATATATATATATATATATATATATATATCTTTATGTGTATGTATGTGTGTATGTGTATATGTATGTGCGCGTGCGCGTATGCGTTTGCGTGTGCGTGTGCGTGTGCGCGAGTGCATGTGGGTGTGCGTGTATGTGTGCCCGTGTGCGTATGCGTATGTCTGTGCCCCAATCCTGCGGTCCTCTACACCTGATGCTCTGTTTCGACAGCGCGGCGCGGACAACACGCATATTACACTTCATGCCACCACCCAACGCCCACCTGATGTTGAGCAGTTTTTGTGGGTCGCTCTCCCAGTCCAGCACGTGCGCGGCGCCGGCCGCCTCGCCCGCGTCCTGGCCAGTCGCCGCCGCCGTGCCGCCCGCGACGTCGGCGCCGAACAGGGCGCGCCGACCACGGAGCGCGGCGGCGGCGGCGGCGGCGGCGGCGGCGGGCGGCGGCGGGCAGGGCTCGGCCGGCGGCGCCACCATGGCCGCCAGCGTGCGCAGCTCGGCCTCGTACGTCACCAGGTGGCGGTCGAGCAGCGCCGTCAGCCGCGCCGCCCCGTCGGCGAAGCGCTGGTCCGACTCGGCGCTGCTGAACAGGCCCGCGCGGCGCGCCTTCAGGTCGCGCGCCTCGCGTAGCGTGCGCAGCTCCTCCAGCGTCTGGCGGCACGGTCACGACGCGGGCAGTGAGCCTGGTGCGGCGGAACCGGGCACGGCGGAGCGGGCGTCCAGCAAGGACCGCAACACATCACGGCAGACAGCCCGGTGGAGACCGACTGTCCCGGCTGGCCAGCACGTCTCGCTCGTCCAGCAAGGACCGCAACACATCACGGCAGACAGCCCGTTGGAGACCGACTGTCCCGGCTGGCCAGCACGTCTCGCTCGTCCAGCAAGGACCGCAACACATCACGGCAGACAGTCCGGCGGAGACCGGCTGTCCCGGCCGGCCAGCACGTCTCGCTCGTCGAGCATGGTATCTTAAGCACAGACAGGAATCGTGGAATCTCTCAATATTTCAGGCAAATAGCTTATGATTGCATGACAACTAGCTGAGCGAGTTTGGGACGGGGAATTCATACAAAACAAAACCTACGCCGTCTTTCGTTCCGATTTGTTCGCCCTGCATTCTAGCACGCGTCTGACTTGTTCAGACAAGGCCGGCTGCGTTCAGCACATCACACCGGCTTGCGCTGAGCATCACACCTCGGCAGCCACGCACCTCCAGGCGTTTCTCAACGTCGCTGATCTTCCTGCGCACCTCGCCCAGCACCCGATCCGCCTCCTGCTTCACCTCATCCGCCTGCCGACGATAGTCCGCGAGATGTCAGGACACAACAGCGCCCGCGGGCAATCCTGCGGCGTCCCGTGACTCACGTTGTGTCCCGTCACTGCTCCCAAACATCAGCACCGTGCACCCCGTACTGCGGGTCATGCAAGGTGTTGCGCTACCTTCCACACCTACAACATGCTAAAATCGCTCACAAGTTCCCAGCTGTGGAAAATGACCTTCGGTCAACTACAATATCGCTCAGGTTACAACATGACTTATCACCTTTCAAAACGGATGGCGCGAGTGAGACGAAAACAGACGCAAAAGCGTCTTCACAGACGCAGTGACTGTGCCGCTCGAAAGCGTTAGACAGACGCGAGGACTTCCAACATGTCTGTCACATGCTGCGTGTCTGAGCAGTGCCCGTTCGGCCAGCGCCTCACCTCCTTCTGGCGCGCCGCCTGCCGGCCGATGGCCGCCTGCCAGGCGTCGATGCGGCGGTGCACTTGCAGCAGACGCTCGCGCTCCGCCTGCCGGCGCCTGCGCAGTGCCAGGCGCCGACTGCGCCGCCGTCGCACCAGCCGCTCCAGAAGCGCCGCCGTAGCCGGCTCCGCCAGCTCCAGCGGATGGCGCTGCTGCAGCTCACTCAGCTGGCAGCGGACGAAAGACAGTGAGATGGCGGATCAGCGCGGCCGGCGCGGCAGGCGAGTCGCTGTCACACTTAGTATGCCACGAGCAGCGTCGACGTCTGGCTACCTGTCGCAACGCGTGGACACCCATTGACACATGCCCGGTAGACGAAAACCCGAGCGTGCGTACAGCCAAAACGGTACCGACATTTCTGTAATGTAACCGGCAGTTCTGCTGATCAACAACATTCAGATCACCTTGGCAGCTCAACACACGTGCTCACGTTCGGCTTTTTGTTCCGCTTGGTCTGCTCTCTACACCTCGCCCCGACACCGCTCTTCTCCAGCCACGACTGCAGCCACAGTTCGGTGCTGTCCCGGGCGGCAGACGTGTCCAATGACGACCCATGGGCACTACTGCCGTCCGCAGTTTGAGCGCCAGAGATCTCGCCTCCACGTCCCCGCAGCGCCGGCTGGCCACCCAGCATCGGCGGCGGCGGTGGCGGCGGAGGCTGCCCGGGCACCCAGCCACTGTTCACGCCTGACGGTCCCGGCAGCTGTAGCCGGCCGTCGGCAGCAGCAGCTGGCGATGGTGTGACAGGCGCAGACGGCCGAGTAGCTGGCGGTGGACCGACAGGCGCAGACAGCCGAGCAGCTGGCGGTGGTGCGACAGGCGCAGACGGCCGAGCAGCTGGCGGTGGTGCGACAGGCGCAGACGGCCGAGTAGCTGGCGGTGGACCGACCGCAGCCGTCGGCGGAGGCACGCAGAAGTAACCACGCGGCCCTGGCGGTGGCCGACCGAACCTGTGCGCGACATACTCGCCGCCCGGTGGCGGAAGTGGCGAAAACGGCGGGCGCGGAGGCGGGTGCGTCGGCCGCCACATCACTTAAACCACTTGAATGAGTCCGTATACGAATGGAACACTTGCTTCAAATTGTGTTAAATACAGCGTGGGAATGATTAAAATTATAAAAACAGCACAATGTGGAAAGGCACCGCATTCAGCTTAGGCGGCCAGATGCATTCTAGCATATTCGATGGCCTTCACAGCTGTCTGGTACTCTTCCAATTCCGCCATGTCCTTCTCTTCATCGATTATTTTCTGAAACAAACATGTTCACAATGCTTTCAGGACTAAAAACATTCTGGGACATTCAAACTCATTCAAATGCTTGCCTGATTTGCACAACTGAATTATAGTCATGGTTGGCAGCAGCTGGCAGAAGCAGTTTTTATGTCAGATTTTGCGAACCAAAAATAGGTAACAGAAACTTGTGGTGGCAAAAGCTGCCAAAACTGGCGTGAACTGAAGTATTGCAGAACATGCTGTCAGCCAATCAGCCAAAGTGGAATCGCAAAATACTAAAGAAACTCCATTACAAACTATAGTTGGATTAACTGCTGGTTGATGAAAAATGCCAGACATCAGAAATTGCTTGCAAGATGCATGAAACAAATATTTACACAAAACAAATGAACAGAAACCAGCTGTGACAGTTTCCCAATAGCTGGTTATCCCCCAACCCATGGAGAAGTTAGGAGAAACAACTGGCTGCAAAACCTGCTACATGGCTTTGCACAATGTCATCCTACAAATGTGATGTCATGAAAAAACGACGCAGCTGTCGCTTTTCACGCACTAACATGTTCTATAATCATTATGGGACATGTTCACTGACTGTCCTGTCTGTGTTTACCACCAAGTGGCATGTTGTAACCACCAACAGCTGTTGTAACACAGAGCAGACAGTGCATTTGGGGAGGCAGGGGAACAATCTCGAACTTTCAGTGTTAGCCCACAGCAAAGGTCGCAAAATATGACGTCGCAAAAATTTCACATGGGCTTCGGTGTGGCCCATGCTCACCCCTTCCCCCTTGCGATCCCCTCCCCCCCCCAAAAAAAACATTGGATTAACATGAACACAAGTGTGACTCTCACGTCGTTGTTGCCTCATGGGCTTTGCAGTCTTGTTCAGGCTCCACAGACACATTTAAGAGGAAGCAAAAACATTATTTTGTTCTTTGTGTCCATGGCATTCATGCATAAAATATTCAGTATTCACCAGACTGTTTGGACTTCGAGCAGACTTAATTGTATTCATCTTCCTAGTGCGTGTGCTTCATGTGATATAGCTGCACTACCTGCTGAGTAGTGCACACATTCATCTGAGATGTTGTGTGTTACAGCTGGTTGTAGAAGGAACGGTCAAATATAACAAAATCCACATTCAACAGTCTTAGGGCACAAATTCAGACAGTCATTGGTGTGCCAACTGCAGCAGATGCACCACATCTATTTATCATGTTCTTGCATTTAGCTCATCATTATATAATAAGATTATTAAAACCATGCAGCATCAGTGGCGGATCCAGCGGGGAGAGGGGGCACGGGGTCATACCTTCCCCCCCCCCCCTCTCTTCGGGCCCTGAATGGTCCCATGGGCTCGGCAGGGGCCATAGCGGGCCGAACAGACGCAGTCTCTTAACGCATGTGACAAAATTAGACGTCTTTGGCCTTCCAGGCGACCAAGAACGATGCCATGCGAAACTGAAGTGCTCACGAAAAGGCAGAATTCTTCGCTTATTGAGAGGGTGGAGAATGGGAGATTTTAAGACTCACTATGCTGTCTAGAAGTCCTTCGCTGTTCGCTGGGGTCCCACGTCCCCGGTTGTCAATCCGATCGTTAAGGCGTCTTCCACGTTCCCTTGATTTATCTGCATTTGCCCGGAGGGCCCTGTGCTATTGTTCGAGGTCTTTTCCGCTAGCGTGCCCGGGCACTCTTGTCGATCGTGAGCCTTCCACAGATTCTTCCCGTTTGCTAGAAAAACTCTACATGCTGTACCGAGGCCTCATGTGTTATCCTGCCGGGGTATTCTCGGTTACTCATGGGCCCTTCACGTTAGTCTCGGTAACCCCAGCCACATACTCGCGATATGACCACAGACCTTCTATTTTGGTCTTAGGCCCTTTCAATTCCTGCAATTACTTGGATACTTACACTCTTATCGGAGGCCACATCTGTTTAACTGATCGGGCACGCTTGATCGTTCTGGAGCCTTCCACATTGGGTCTTGGGTATCTCTGACTGGAATGCCCTACGCTTTTGTCGGGGCCCCATCCGTTAAGCTATCCGGACGAGTCGCGGATCCGGAGGGAGGGGGGACGAGGCCATACCCCCCCCCCCCCCTTCGTGCGCCCTGAGAGGGTACGTAGGTCCCCAATGGGCCTATAACCAGCCGAACGGACGCAGTTTTCTGGCACAAAACGCAGCACAATTGGACGTCTTTGGGCCTACAGACGACCAAGAACAGTCGCCGGAGAAGGTAAAGGGCCCATAAGCAGACAGATGATTCTTCGGTGATTGCGAGAGAGGTGATTGGGATGATCTTGATGAGGCTCATTACGCTGTCCAGAGCTCTTGCGCTATTACCCGAGCTCTATATGCCTACTTGCCAGGTCAATCCGATAAATAAGGAGCCTTCCATGTTGACCCCTGTTTGCATTTTCTCGGAA